GTAATATTATGAAAATTTAATAAGAGGGATAATAAAATAAAATTAAGTTGGCTTTCTTTTATGTTTATCTATTATTAATAGACTATTAACATGTGGTCAATAGAGATGTAGTGTAGCCAGGTCAATTATTTGATATATTTATTTTTAAGTAAATTTTTCCGGGTAATTCCTTGAGATTTTTGGAAAAATTCATTAACAAAGCTATTCTTTGATATGAAAAATAATCTTTTAAAGTAAGGTACATAAAGTTTATAATAATTGCTCAAATAATGTGTCCAAAGTGGACTCCAAACTCAACACAACATATAAATGTTCATGATTTCCAATATTATTCACAAACTGACTATATTTATTATAATGTTTGACAGATTAATTATAAGATAATAAACAAAAAATTAATTTGAAAACTTTTCAATCAATAAGTGTATATGTTTATCAATATATTCATTACCATGCAATTCCTTGGGCTACCCATATCAAGGTAAGACCCCCGCCGAGAGTCAGACCCTGATTCCGGAGACTCCCGGGCAGCCTTCTGGCAACACTAGTCATATGCCATATATTTCTTAAGGAGAAATTATAATTAAATAAGTGGAACATTAATATAAGAATAAAGAACATTTAACAATTGATTTCTGTTATCAAATATTTATCAATCATGGTTGGTTTCATTTTTTACATTGCTTATTTATTGCTTATTATGCTCATTTATTACTTTTTAAGCAGAAAATGTAATACCAATGTTATAATACAGTTAAAGCTATGATACATACCACGCCGTTTCATTTTGCCGAAAAATTCCTTTCCCTAATAACTAACTTATTTAGAATTAATCAAGATAATTTGATTCTGGTTTCAGTATCTACGAACACTAGCCCATGTCTACATATTCTATAAAATGTATCATGATTGATTAAATTTTAGAGTATTTATTTTTCAAAAAAGCCGAGGAAAAAATTGTTCAAAAAATAGGAAAACTTTTTTCTTGTTTGATAAGTGTTTATAAAATAATGATAGCTAGTAGCTACACACCTCCACTATAATCTCAATATACAAGTATAATTTTGTCTCAGAAAACTCTTTTTTCTCACGAACTGTCAGCAAACTCAGCATCACTCATAGTTTTAGCATTACCAATGTTAGACATATGTCACAGGATTAATACTTTACATAGGCTGGAAAACATGTTTAGGTCAAAAGGATAATTGCATGTTAAATACAGTTATGGTTTTTATTAAAAATTTAAAGTCCTTTAGACATCAATAAATAAGTGTTCATATGATATCATACATATCATGTAAATTAAACCAATGAGTTAACTATGGTTACAGTTATTACAGTTCGAAAATGCTTGAATTAAATTAGTTTTGTATTAATTGGCATAATTTGATCTGGATAACTCGTATTAATTGATCATCATGTGTAACATATTGCTTAAATGCATATTTCCTTCTTTAATTTATTTTCTTTACTCATGAGATTTGAAATGAAAAAATAAATCAAAAGTTATACCAAATTTAAATTTAAATACAAATTTATTCATTAAAAGAGCTCCAAATTCCATGAATTTAAAACAATTAGAAAAATGTAATTATATTTTATAAGATTGGATGACATTCTGGAGCTCCCGTTCCTTCGCTACATAGTCTTGAATGAAGGGATGGTTAGTATTGGAGTCTTTCAGTTGACTGATGTAACGATTGGTCACTTCTGGAGGTTTTCCCAAATATTGGGTCAAAACAATAGAATTGATTAGTGTTTCGGCGTTATTGCTGTCCTTATCGATAGCCTCCTGAATCAGTGCCTCGGCCTCCGTATACTTCGCCTGACCTATCAGTGCGACCGCCTGTCCGTTGAGAAGTAGAGGCGAAGCGCCGTATTTGTCGGCCAACTCCTGGTATATATAGAAAGCGTCCTGAAGTTTGTCCCCTCCGTGAGACAAATCGATGGACGCCTGACATAACTGGCAAAGAGTCGAGTCGTCGTCCGTNCTCCTGAATCCTCTTCAGCTCTTTTCGGGCCAAATCTATTCGATCCAACTTTAGGTATATCTGTAATACCATTGCAGAGCTAATGGTAACCAATCAATCAATTAATCCATTGGCACTTCAGACACATATCAACACAAATACCATTCAATGTTATCGCTTGAATGCAATACACGTAAAGCGGTCTCCAAATTATTTTCGTGATAATAAATAGTGGCAAACATTAAACACTGGATCCAATCATTCGCGTCCAAAGTCTGCGCTTTTGTCTCCAAATCTTTCACAATATTTTCCCTTTAATTTGATAACAAATTTAGTTAATTATAAACAATTGAATGCAATTACAAGCGATTATCACCTCTTCGTGTTATCGGCGGCCAAATAGTTGGCCAAAAGTTTGATGTCTTGTAGTTGTGATGGTTTGGAAGCGTTGATCTCATCGCAAACCACTCCATACTTCTTCTGTGCCACATATGATCTGTACATAAAGACATCCTTCTCGAGCTGTTGTTCACTCGTTGACACCTGTAATGCATGGGTTAGGATGTGATGGATCAGTTGCGGTGATGGACAGGACATACCTTCACTTTGAGTGCCTCATTGATGGCCTGTTGATAGTTAGCCAAATAGAAGCCATTCCTCAACTCAAACAACACGTCCGGCGCCGAAGAAGTCATTACTTAATCAATCAATTAATTAATTGCTTTCAAATGTGGACTAAAAGTGACAACAAATCACTCAATCGGTTGTCACGACAACTGTCAACAACAGGCGTCGATTGCATTGCATTTAGTCATCCAATGGAAGAGCCAATCAGTGACCGGTATTGCCGTACATGTCATCCAACGAACCAATGAAAAGCGTTCACAACATCTCCTCATTTAAGGCCCGCCTTCTGTCGTATCGTATGATATGTTTTACGCAATAAATGAGACAACAATTGAGTGTTTAGTCGTGTTTTGACTTTCATTGCCTTTACGTCTCACTCATTGTCACACAATTTGGTCTCAATTAGCCATCAATTGATCCATCAATTGGTCCCCCAATTGGTCTCCGACTTCGGGCTCTCAAATGGATCTCAATTTAGAGTCATTGCAGTCATCACTGGAGGCGTCGCATGTGTTGTCTCCGGCGTTGGACTCGTGTGGCATCGGATCCAACGTATTGTCCGAATGCGTGACCACTGATGAAGATTTCGAAGACATGCTGTCATCGATCGGTTGCGGAACTGATCTCTGGACAGACACTCTGGATGTGCTCAACACGAGTTGCATTCAGCCCAACGATATGGCCATCACTTCACCGAAACTCAATGAAAACCTATTGTTTGACAACTCTTTCGATATATTGAATGACTTGTCGTTCAATGAGATCTCATCGACGCCTTCGTCTCCCGAATCGATGCACTCGACCAGCAATTGTCCGCCAGCTGTGGAACCGATGGTCATCGGCAACGATATGCCACAGCAGAGGAATGTGATTCAACAGAACCAGAAGATACAGTTGGTTCGGCCCACAGTTGTCCACAAACAGACACAACCGACCGCTCAGTTGAGTCAACCCATGGAAGTGACGAACGGAACGGCGATTCCCGTCAATCTGACTGATCTGTTGTCGATAATCAAAGAACAACAGCAACAGAAACAGCAGCTTATGTTACAACAGAAAGTGCAACAAATTCTGATCCAACAGTTGAAGACTAATACACAACAAAGCATTCAACCCAACAAACCATTGCTATCTAACGCCACATTCAAACCGAGTCCAGCAGTGGTCCCTCCGGTGACAGTCGCCGTCAACCCGACTGCCACTCTCCTCACAACGGGTCCACTCATTCTATCGCAACCGCCACAGAAGGAAGTGATGGATAAGATTCCCATCCAAAGACTGGGCACAACTGGTCCCACATTTTCAAACGTTATGACAATTAAAAGAGAAACTCATTCACCGCTTAGCACGACGTGTGACATAAAGGGCGGCAAACAAATGGTGATCGGAGCGGTTCCCGAGAAGAGGTCGGCGCACAACGCCATTGAACGACGCTATCGTTCGTCAATCAATGACAAGATAACGGAACTGAAGAATATGATCGTCGGATCCGAAGCTAAACTGAACAAATCGGCAGTTCTTCGCAAAGTGATTGAATACATCCATTACTTGCAGAACTCTAACGCAAAACTAAAACAAGAGAACATTCAACTCAAGCTTAAGAACGCTTCCACTGAATCCAACTGTCAATCGAAACCGGGCTCTCCAGACATGACTCCACCCATCTCTGACTGTTCATCGGTGGCCTCATCTCCAGACCAAAGTGGTCTCAATTCGTCTCCGGGTTCTCCGCTCTTCTATGCAAGCGATGGCTCGAGAATGATGTTATGTGTCGTTGTTTTGGCAGTTCTGGCCTTCAATCCAATTGCTATTATCATGAATACAAGCGAATCGGCTTTCAATTACGAATCCGGATCTGAAGGACACGGAAGAGCTATACTTAATTGGTTTGGAGCTGAAGATAACACGTCCTGGAAATACGTGATTAACAACATAACGATTACGGCTTTGATTTGGACTTTGAATACATGTATCTGTTATTTGGTTTTAAGAAAAGCACTCAAAAACAACAACTATAACAATACAACCGGCGATGGGAAGAGTCAGCAAAAGTATGGCATTTACTTAATCCAAGCGAACGCCGACTTCAAAGCCGGCAAAACATTGACCGCCAAAAACAACTTTGAATTAGCGCTGAAGACAATAACCGGAAACAATTTGCCCAACACTTACTTCTCACGCATTGTCTCTCTTCTCTGGCAATCGATGAGGTATTGGTTAAACATGTCTTACATCGGCGTCTGGTTGGCCAACAAAGACACCAATAGTCAGCAAACGCTCTGCAAATCGATTTGTTATATTCACTGTAAACTCAATTCAATTGATTTGATTGAAAACGAAGGCAAGACTTCACTTATGGGTTACATTCACTCCCTGTCGGCGCTTAACGAGTCTTTTCTCGTCGCCCCCAACACTGGCTATCAATCGATTTGCTATTTAATGGCAGCGCTTCGGTTCAAGAGTCAGTCCAATCTATTGGCCCGTCTTTTCATCCATAAATCAACCAAATGTTACGACCAATCGATCGATACGTTTCTATTGAAACCCATAGGAAAGCGATTCTTCAATAAATCTCACATCAAATGGAATTATTCTGTGGACAAGAACTCCATTTTCACGAAAAGCAATTTCATGGCTAACGACGCCCTACTCTTCCTCTCCATCCGATTCCGCAGATATTTGATTAAGAAATGTATTCTCACTTTAATGAATCCGCGCAACGGTTCCAACAAAGATCATTACCACTCAAACGGAGGCAAACCCAACACCGAAACCATTACAATCAATGATGTCATCCAAGAGTTGATCTCTAATTCGAAACAATATGGCGACGAAGTGTCATATTTTTGGAGTCAAGTCATAAAACTGGCTTTTAGTTGGCTTACCAGTGATGACCAGTCGGTCAAACTAACGCATCTCGAAGTACCGGAACAGTTGAAAAACAATTCACTCGTCATTTCTTTGCTTCTTATATCAAGACTACGGAAATACATAACAAACAAAAGACCGAAAGACACGAAATTGATCCGCAATTTGTTGGACAGATCCAGTTATGAGTTGTGGCGCTCTATAGAGACGGACCAAAACGCAAGAATCGGAAGAATACACGACGAATGCCACCAACAGGTGTTCGAAGCGTTTGAATTGCTTTGTTGTGATTGGATTCTATGGACAAGAGTTAAGTTATGGGAACTGAACGCCAATCAAAACGATGGTAACAATTGGCGCCATATCTCTGGCTTCCGAAAGGATTTGTCGACTTTGCGTTATTTGGTTGAATCGATTCCGAGCGCCAAATCCAAGCTATACTTCTATGAGGGCTGCTATCGACTCATCTGCGGCTCCAATCCATTGGAAAGCCAGGAGTTCTTCGAGCGAACACTACGGAAGAGGCGGTTGAATGTGAGCTCTAAACTGATTTGCAACACAAACGATGAGAATCACATCCCGTCGCTCAGCGATCAGCACGACTTTGCCGGCGCTCTCCTCCTCAGCGCTAAATACCTTCCGTCTCATTGTTTTTCATGTCCGGCCGAAAGGGAGGGATATATTAGAGAAGCGAATAGTATATGCGATCGCTTTCGACGACCCGATGACGTGATTATGTAATCTAATGCCTGACACAGACTTCTCTTGTAAATAAGTGTAGACTTTGTTTCACACATTCATTTAGTTTATAGTTTTAAATAACTTATTGTTGACAACAAAAACATTGATTATGTTATTGCCATTAAATGCATTCAAAAGGAAAACCATTTAATTAAAACATATTTAAAACATATATATTGTAATAATACTTATTTACAATAAGTATTTAAAAACAAACTTATAATTAAAGCCTAATATTTATATAATATTTGTAAATTAGTTAATCGATTGTATTCTCACTTTTCCTAAGCATATAGTTTCCAAATAATTCATATTTTGATTCCTAATTATTATTTTTTTCAATAAATACACTAATCCTAAACTTATGTGAGTTTTGCGATAATCTGTTGAGTGAATTGACTACACGTGGCTTTTCCGCCCAAATCGGCAGTCAATGCGGTCTTCTCTTTGATCACTTCAAAGCACGCCTTCTCTATAGGATCGGCGAATTGGTTGAGATTCATATACCTTAACATCATTATAGCCGACAATAGCAGAGCCGTCGGATTAGCCTTGTCTTGACCCGCAATGTCAGGCGCCGTCCCGTGAACCTGAAACACACCGTATAATCATTGCTTAACACTCAGTCGGCCAACACTTGCACTCTTATACCGATTCAAAAACAGCGCCATCTTTGCCAATATTACCGCTGGGAGTGACTCCCAAACCACCGATAAGTCCGGCGCATAAGTCACTTAAGATATCGCCGTAAAGGTTAGGCATAACGAGTACATCGAACTGAGACGGGTCCTGAACCATCTGCAGGGCTCAACACAAATGGCACATCACATACCGGTCGTTAAACACTACATAAATGGCACTTACATTGAGACAAACGGTATCCAAATACATCTCCTTATACTTGATCTCCGGGTGATGTTCGGCCACTTCGCGACAGCATTGAAGGAACAGACCGTCAGACATACGCCTATTAATAAAGTTTGTAAACAAATGGATGGGTTAACCACAAGTTGGGGTAAACTTTAGTCCATATCTCAATTATGGTTAAAAAATAGATGCCAAACAATATCTTACATAATGTTTGCCTTATGAACAGATGTGATAGTTTTGCGTCCGTTGGCCTTCGCGTATTCAAAGGCATACTCAGCGACTCTTCTGCTGGCCTTTTCAGTGATCAATTTGATGCTCTGAACCACTCCTGGAGTGATCTCGTGTTCAATGCCACTGTACTCTCCTTCGGTGTTCTCCCGAATGGTGACCACATCCACGTTGTCATACAGTGTCTCATAGCCTTCGATCGAACGACACGGACGGACATTGGCGTAGAGGGAGAACACTCTACAGGCAATGCAAACCATTAATTAACAGTTATTTCATGTCTTGTATTGATATTACTTTCGTATTTCAAGATTCAGCGAACGGTGACCTTTGCCTATAGGTGTGGCCAACGGGCCCTTCAAACCGATCTTATGCTTCTGTACCGATTCGATGGCCTTCTGAGGAATACCGAACCGACCGTCGGGTCCTTTGACAGGAGTCACGTCAACCTTTTCCCACGCGATCGGCACCTAAAGGACAGGCAATACTCGCATGTATTCATACATTTCAATGCAATTCAATCATCTCTTTGCCGGCAATACCTTTGCGGCAGAAAATATCTGCTGAACTGCGCTCGAGATCTCCGGTCCGATGCCATCGCCCGGTATTAATGTGACCACTCTTTCGGTGGACTCCATTCGGAGACAATTACTCTGACATCGAAACACATTTGAAAGAATCGGTTTCTGAATTGATCCCAAAATAATGGCATTAATTATGTTGAAAATGGACACAAACGGTGACTTACGAGCGATCGATGCATTTGTGATGACAATCGGATCCCAATGGGTGTCAACTAATGGCAAATGTTTTGTGTATTAAAGCGAAGGCTAGAAAAGTTTGGACACAAGAATCGCAGACAAGTCTTCAGTCAATCCTTGTCTTCAAACAGATGTCACGACAATCACAAACCATTCATACAGTAATTACGTCAATCACTGCAACACTATATTAATGTTACTAAAATACTTACAATTACTGTAAAAAGTTACAATCTCCAGAATATTCTCCACCATTTGCTCTATGAATACAGTGTTTGTAAAGTACGGCCAATAATATGACCCCCAAAACACAATTTAATGCTCTTATATGGACTCCATTCACATATAGTCACCAAATAGTGCTTCCATTGCTTCTATTTGGTCGACAATGCAATATATCATACCTAATATGTCTGACCACTGCATACCATTACATACCGAAGCCGTGACCAACACTTATAGCCCCCCAATAGTGCCCAACCCCTGGTCTATACAACCTCTGTATTGTCAATGCATTGGTAGTGAAGTGTGACGTGTGTTGTGTCGGGAGTGCCAGCAGTGAAGGCAACACTCACTCCACACAACATCAGTGAACACAACTGCCAGCAAATGGTCTCAAATGCCTTACTATGCGCTCAACACTTGAGGACAACGTTTACGGCCAACACATCTCCGGTCGAGTCAATGGTTGGTCACATCCACTCTGAGGTCAGTATTAGTGTCACAATTGTCTCAGCAGTGGTTGAATGAGACGATTGGTATTGAATAGTGAATGTAAAGATTGATTGCTTTGTTAGACATCGCAGTGAGTGATGGTATGAAACACAGAGCCATACAAATGGCGATCAATGGCTCACTTATGGCTCAGTCAATGGATCCGACGGTGAACTCAATGCGTTGTAAGACGTGATTATAGGACACAATGGATGGCAGCCATGGATTGGACGGTATGTATAGATTGCGTGCATTGATTGAAGTGTTGAGTAAATGTACCCCTAATTAGTGTTTTAGTAAATTGTGTGGAAATGTTTAAATGCGTAGTAATTGGCAAATGATTGTACAGTATATGCAATATATATATACAGTATGTGTGATGTGTTTCAGACGCCATATTACTCTATAATAGCACTCATTTGGTGTGTCGTTGTATTGCGATATACGGCGAGCCATCACTCGTCACCTCTTTATATTTGAATCAAATAATTGATTAGTTATTCGTATTTCTAATTAAAGCTATGATTAATATATGAATTCTATTAACGTCTTCCCGCGACTATAATTGCCGGGCAATTATATCTAGATCTGTAAGTCGGGGGCAATTATATTTGGATAGAGTTGCCCTCACTTTTACTATCAATCAAACATTTGTTAAAATTCACGTATAGTTGCCCTCAAACTCTTAACATTTAACCGATAGATGTATAAAAATGGTCGCAACTATGTGTAAGTTTTTAATATGGGGGGCAATTGTATTCGGATATAGTTGCCCCGGTTTAGCACTTTTGTGATTTGGCTAAAATCTAGATATAATTGCCGGCAATTCTAGTCGCGGGAAGACGTTACAAATGG